TGTGTGTGTGTTAAAAAAAAAAAAAAAAAAAAACCTCTCTCATTGAGCTCATTCCATCCACAAATCATCACAAAGTTGACCCAAACCATCCATAAAGATAAATATAGTGAGATGGGCAATATACTAATATAGTAGAAGATGCAAGGTCGGCCATGTTTGTGTGGTTAAGTGCCAAGTGCCCACACACACGCCGAAGCGATCTGCGAGGCCAAGGGCCTGATGAGCCCCTTTTGTCCCTGTTATGCAACACGTCCGCCGCCCTAAGCGAAGGCAGGCTCGACAAGGGCCTGAGGGCCCCTATCTCGGTCACCACGCAACTGTGGAAAATTCAGGCAGTTGCGCAGCGCCAGTTGGTTGAAGAGCACCCAGACCCAGGCCGCTTGTTTGCATGTATGGAAGGCAGGCCCTGGGCTGGATACGGGATATGGGCCAAACACAGGCCGAGGACAGTTGGGCACAAGTAACCACCGCAGGCCCTGGGCCTGATTCGTTTGGACTGGGCCTCAGCCTACCGGGGCCTACCGGAAGCTTCTTGGAAGGCCCAGTGCAGCCTGGGACAGAAGGCAGGCAGGCCACTTCCATATAGCAAAGGGCCTGCCTCCGCATTGGGCATTCGGGTGCTGGCTGCATGCTGCGCAAGCGCTGCTGCGCTGAAGCTGGCTGGCACTCACGCGCTCACGGGCGAGCTTGAAGGAGCAGGCAGCCATAGCCAAGCTGCGCTGCTGTAGGCTAGGTGTGGCGCATGGTGGTCCTTGGGTGCATGTGGCATCTGTGTGTTGGGGAATGAGGTTGTGAGTGATGCGAGAGACATACCTGGTGCTGGAAGCGTGCGGCATTGGCCGCTATCTGCTCGTACTTCGGGAGAGCTGTTGACGTCATCCGGCGGCATTGTAAAGTAGGCTAGATAGGGTCTGCCATCGGTAGTCTGGGGACCGAACGCCAGATAGGATATCAACATTGGTTCTGAATCTTCATTGATGATGATGACGAGACTATTCCAGCATTGTCAATTATGAGCTCTTGGTGTGTTCTTATTTGGTGAAACTCGTGATGCAATTCTGCTGTTGGTTCGAGGTCACGACTATCTGGTCTTATGTGTATGATGCTGTTTGATTTCTGAAGTTCGCTATCGCTCATCTTCCTTGCACACTGCTCTGTTTGCAATTTATTCAGTTGGATACAAAGTTCACAGGGAAAAAGAAAAAAAGAAAAAAAAAAAACTGTGACAGGTTGAAGGCTGGGAGGTGAAAGTGTGCAGGAGGAGCCTGGGCATCCTACCACAGCTGCTGTCTGCCAGTCATGGCAGTGAACGATGTCTGGTCGTTTGTTGGTTTTTAACAAAAACTCCAACGCCGCACGGCAAAAGTATGTGAACCGCTCAAAATCATCATGGCAACCATAGTAACTCCTCCGCCAAAAGAAGCGCCCAGGATGAAGAGGTTCGATAAAATACACGGGCAAACCTGTCATGCCATTCATTAAAACAACAGAATAAACGGCATCAATATTCAGCTCGTTTACCCGGCCCATGTACCTGAATGGTGCACACATGTAATGGAAAATAAACAGATCGCAAATACGAGTTCTGCTATGACTCAAATGGATAGAAAAAGGCTAGGGGCTAGGGTGTGCTTCCGCCCCATGGTCCAATCTAGAAGGGCTCAGCAAACGGGGGACAGCAATACTCATACCAAACTCCTCCAACCTCTGGTCAGCAGGTCAGATTCTCAACAGAGAGGGAGACTGCGAGGAAGGCAGATGGTCATGGCTGGATATTAGATGGCAAGACGAGATACTGAGAATCCTCAACGTCCGCGTTCCCAACGCAGAAAATGAACGCCTAGCATCCCAAATCCCCAACCGGTGATCATCGCTAGCGATTGGAACACGACCTTGGACCCCAACCTCGACCGTATCTCTTGCTCCCTAGTGATAGGCCCAACACAAGCCGGAACCCACATAAGGAACATCATGACGGAGTTCGATCTGATCGACCCCACCCAGAGAAAAAAGCCTCCTCGCTGGTAAAAAAGAATCAGGCAAACCGGACATCGCTATCCCAGATCGACTTCTTCTTGATATCCAAGCACCTCCAAGGCACAGTCAAGCGGGCCGAGATCCGACCAGCAGCGGCCTTCTCAGGAGATTAGACCACAAACCTATCGAATTGCTCCTAAATTTTAACTCCCCGGTGGAAACAGGACGCGGTTTCTATAGGTTAAACAACTCCCTCTTAGCCACTGAACGCCTCACAGAAGCAGTCAGATGGAACTGGTTCATCTTAAGACAGAACAGTGCCAGACAGAACAACAGATACCAATGGTTCATTGACAGTTACTTAGACCTAACTCAAACAGTCTCAACGGAATCCAAAAGTATAGCAGGCGAACGAAAAATCAGAAAAGAAGAACTCCAACTCACCATATTACTCGCCAAAGACAAACTCATTACAGACACTTCAAATGCTTTCTACAGCCAATTACTCAAATCGGCAAGAGATGAACTTAACGAATGAAGGAGGTGGGAGTTGAGAGGTCTGCAGATACGCGCCAGGATGACCGATCACACCCTCAACGAATCCATGACAAAGTTCTTCTTCGCAAAAATAAAAGCGAGTGCCAGAAACAACAGCATTGAAGGGTTGAAGAACTTGAAGGACCCGGACAATAAGAACAGGGTCGACCAATCAGGCTCAGGGATGGTGAAGATAGCTAGATCTTTCTGTGCACACCTCTATGAATCCAAAACACCCTCCCCCCTACTTCGGCCAACTTAGCCACACGACAATGGATGATGACCTACCTGGATAGGACCATCACACCAGAACAGACAGAAGGGTTAGACAGACCGATCTCGCTGGGAGAATTGCACACAGTCCTGAATCAAATGGGCAACGAGAAAGCCCCGGGAATTGATGGACTGTCGAAAGAATTCTGGGTCCACTTTCGGCCCACAATAGGCGAGTATCTCCTCAAATTTTTCAATGACAGCAGGGACAGAGGAGGGGTAGGCCAAATCCTGAGTACAAGTGTACTCTCTCTACTTCATAAAAAAAAGCGGCAAAGAGGATCTGAAAAAACAGCTACGAGCAAATTGGAGCAACTAATATCTGAACATACGCTTGGACACAATCAACGGACTAAAGGTGGAGTTTTTAACCCCGATGATTGTTGAGGAAGATCGAAGCCCCTGCCGGATGTGATTGAAGCCGCCTTTCACCGCGCTCTTCCCGATAGCTCCTTGATGTCCCCTCTCTTAGCCCAAAACCATTCCGCTCTCCCCTCTCGACCCGCATCCACCGTCATGCCTCCGGTTAACAACGCAGGATAGGAGAGCGAAGGTTCCACCTTGCCTTAGTTCTCATGAAGATTTGCCTCCCTTCGAAGGCCATCCCACACCGTCGAGTATGCTAACCTGCAGCATCACTTGAACGAAGCGCAAAGCCAGAGTTGTTCTCACTGATCTCGTCATCAACCTTTCAGCACCAAGGACAGGCTCCTTCCTCAGAAGCTCCGGCATCTCGAAACCAAGCATAAAGGAACGAAGAGAAGCGTCAACCCCTCTCCCTTCTCCTTCCTACCTCCTTCCTTACCAACAGGCCCCTCCTCATTTCGTACGGAATAACACTCCCCTCACAGCAGCGAATCACTCACGTCGCATGTGACAGGCCCCGCCTTCCTTCATGTGAAAACGTGCCCATGCACCCTGGCGGCGCCCACCTTCCTTCGTCAAAGCACCGTGCGACACTCCAGCTGACGGCACTAGTTCGTGTGGGGCGCAGCGCTCCCGGTAGCGCTGCACCCTAGGAGGCGCTAAGACGGTCTGATTCTAACTCCCCAACTTCTCTCCTGCCTCCTCTGACGAGGAGGCTGATTCGCTCAATCAAATGCCTCTGTACTGACAGCCACGTGTAGCAAATAGCTATTCATATATTGTCAAATTCTTCCTCTCCAATGTCTCCATCAGGATTTGGCGGTCTGTTTGATCAGTTACATGTGTGGAGTCTGTGGACGTTCAGCCACCAGGAGAGAAAATATTGCCCCGTTTTCTTTTGCCGAGAAAGAAAACACGGTTCCTAACTTGCTAACAAATGCCACAGAAGGGTCTGCTGTTTTTCAAAAAGAAAAGGAAAAAGGATTGCCAACAAACGATCTGCCAGCAGTCAGCAGACAGGTTGTAGACAGATATGGTGTCCTCCTTGTTGCAGTCCCCAAGCGAAGTCCCTCTCATTTCCCGTCAGGATCTGTTTAAACCGCTAGTACACGGCCCCAGCCTTGCAGAAAGTTTTTGTCGCCACTAGCAAAACTCGGAGGCGCCGCGCGGCCAGGGGCGCCGTTGAAAAGAAAAATTGGTGGCCTCCGAAGTGATGCGGGTTTCATGCTGACACTCGCGGGCCGATGTGTGGTGTACTGGTGATTTAACGCACAACCTCTAGAGTCTAAGCCCCGAGCACAGGATGGAGGAAAATATGTGGGTACTTACTGCAAGGAGATGTGCAAATTAGGTCCATATTTCACAAGGAGCCCTGTCCTCCAGGTTTCGGTTGGGGCCAGGCCCAGTGAGGAATATATTTCAAATCTTGGTAGGCAATGGCCCAGGAATACACTAGTAGCCATGGCTCAGCTTCGTACAGGGGTCTTTTGAGGCTGCGACCCCAGATTGTACAACATCTTCACAGTATTTCAATACAGCACAGGGGCCTGGGAACCGTATTGGCCCCAGGATAAAACATTCAGAAGCGGCAGAAATCATGTTCACACGGTTTTCACCACAGTTTTTCACAGCTGAACAAGCCAAGTGTTTTTTAGAGCATCTAACTAAAGGATACCTATGTTAGCATCTTACCACTTTCCAAGATTCTCTGAACCTTCCTGAGCAATTGTGCGCGCGCCGATTTTCAAACGGATCGCAACAGATACTACACTTGATCGTCATCGTCGTCGTCGTTTTGGGGCGCGGGGCAGTTAGTTAGTTTGGGGTGTCTGTCTGTCTGTCTGTCAATCTCTCTCTCTCTCTCTCTCTCTCTCTCTCTCTCTCTCTCTCTCTCTCTCTCTCTCTCTCTCTTTCTTTCTGGTGCGCGGGTTGTTTTCCCTTGTTTCTTTTTTTCTCAAGAACTCCCGATGGTCCACTGGTCAGATATCACACTGATCGGAACAGATACTACACTTGGTCGTCATCGTCGTCGTCGTTTTGGGGGGCGGGGT